CGTGCAAAAAGCTTTCCACTAGTTGTCTAGTCTATGTGTTGTCTGGTTAGTGGTAATATAATAAAGAAGTGAAATGAAACATTTTTATTATGTATCGATAGCTTTTTATTGTTTTAACATCGATGAATATTCACTATGGGTGTCGATATTGTTAAAAGTTATTTAACGTCGCTAACTATACCCACTCGTTTGATTTTGAGAAAAATGGATATTCCTAAGGTGAAAACTAATAATAATAATGTAATAATTTTGTCAGAAAAATATGAATTGTTCTTTTTAGTTATCAAATGCACTACGCGATTTGCCCAATAGAGTTTTGAATGTTGCTGTTGAAGAACGTTTGTCACTATTTCAAAATGTATGCGACATACTTGATAATCCCGGTAAGTATCCAACGGTGTTCTCACATACATAACTACATACATACACATAAATTTACTCCTGTATTATATCCTAGTGTTTCTGCAATATGTAAAGATGCACATACATATGTATGTATCTCAAACATGTTTTATATTAGTAATCATCTTTATGCAAAGTACGGCAAAAGTATTTTGAGCCAAAACTTTTTTGGCAATAATAAACCGATAATTAAAGTGAGAAGACATGACATGTGTAAAGTAACCTTAACAAATCATCATACAATTTAAAATGGGTCTCATGATGAATAAAAACTAAATCAACTACTAAATGGATATAATATAATGTAATATCCTTCCAGAGTTATCGTGTCCTTACCGAATCTACACACCACTGTATCTCTTAATATAAACCCACATACTTATATGTATATAGACTCAGAGGTGGCCAATCAAGAACACTTATTCCCACTTCACGTAATACATTTGCAATAATTTAAGACACGGCATTTCGCGATGTCTTGCTGAAAATAAGCACATCCTGGAATTTCCCTTTGGTTATAGTACCATGAATTACTTTTTGTCTTTGTATACCGTCAACCCATTGAAAATGGGAAACAGGATAAAATGGTTTTGTTGAAATGTAACAGGCAGAAGGAGTCGTGGCAGACCCCACCAAGTATAAATACATACATAAATTCTTGATCAGAGCGACGAGCGGAGTCGATTTGGCCCTGTCCGTCTGTCTGTCCGTCCGTCCGTCCGTATGTTTGAA